ATTTCTCTAAAGTTTCTCTCCGGCTACTCCTATTAAAACTTAGCAAACTCAACATTGATCCGAACGTGCTACGCTGGATAGAATCTTTTTTAACCAACCGTTCTCAATTTGTGCATGCCAATGGTACTAACTCTTCACTTTCTCCCGTAGCATCTGGAGTTCCCCAGGGTTCTGTTTTAGGTCCGCTACTTTTCCTCATCTATATTAATGATCTGTCTGAATGTATCTCCTCTAATATTAGTTTATTTTCTAATGATTGTGTACTATATAGAGAAATAACTGATAACTCTGACATCTCTGTTCTCCAATCTGATCTTAACTCTGTATCTAACTGGTGCGACAAGTGGTTGATGCAACTCAATCTTAATAAATGTAAATCCATGAGAGTTTCCCGTCGTACTAACATGTGCTCGAATTACTACATTGACAACACTCCGCTCCAGTCTGTGTCCTCTTACAAATACTTAGGTGTTTACATAACTTCTGGTCTTTCCTGGGAAACTCACACTGACTACGTAACTAACAACGCCAATCGCATGATTGGATATCTCAAACGAATTTTTTCACAGTCACCAGTGTCACTAAAACTCCTTTTATATACTACTTTAGTACGTACTAAACTTGAATATGCATGTTCTATCTGGGAGCCTGGTCATAATACTATCATTGCAACATTGGAATCAGTTTAAGATCGTGCAGCACGTTTCATACTCTGTAATTACCATCGTACATCCAGTGTTACTGCAATGAAAAATAGCCTTGGTTTATCCACACTAATGAACCGTAGACGCATTTCCCGCCTTACTTTATTTCATAAGATTTACCATAATAGCCCTTTCATGCGCCGTGAACTTCTAACGCCACCTACTTACGTTTCATCCCGCGTAGATCACCAGTACAAAGTCGGCATCCCAAATTACAAAACTAACACTTATTATAACTCCTTTGTTCCTCGCACTAGCTCTGATTGGAATCGCCTTTCCGCTGACATAGCCTCCATAACCAGTATTACTGATTTTAAAAATGCATTGTTTGTTCATTTTGATTAACCATTTTCTAGTTGGTATTCTGTTATAACATTGTGTAAATTTGTTTTTGAAGTGTCTGAACAAGCGTGCATTAATTACTGTATTATATTTTATGTATCAACAACTGTACCCTTGTCACCTAATCCCCCCCACTCCCCTCTGTAATACCTTGAGGGTAAATAAATAAATAAATAAATAAATAAATAGCTTGACGCCTTGATAATGGTGCACAACAGACTGATAACAGGTTAGTTACAAAGGCCACAAAAGTGGTATTAAAAACATAAATATTTGCTACGCCGAGGGCAATACACAAGTGTTGAATGCGGTTCATAGGACTGGTTGGGACGACTTGACTAACATAGAGAGTCGGATAAATCCGCAAAACTGACTTGGAATATGAATATTAATATCTGATGTGAGATCAGGACAATCAATTAATTAATGGTTACCTTTACACAGGAAAACTAGATCTCGCGCACGTCGTCTAGAACATAAAGTAGGGCAATTGCATCGTTTCAAGAGTTTCACATAAGAATAGTAGACAGTACAACAAATGTAACAATTATATAAAATTTCGAAAGAAATTCTTCTGAACATGTTCAATCATGTCTTGCTCGTAAAACTAATACACTTCCAGAGAACACAGGAAAACTTCAACTTGAACCGGATTAACGACAAGTATAATCGTAAAATACATGTTGACGTGGAGAACTCACGCGTAATTCTAGAGATGACACCCAGCTTACAGAACGAGTATTTATAAGTATATTAACATGTACAGTAAAAGATTAGGAAAGGTCTATCTATACACTAAGATCACGTGTGCACTTGACACTTCGCAGCAGAACATTGTCCATATAATAACAAAAGTTGATTTTTTCTACCTTTCTAAACAGAGACATAACAACGCTTTTAGAAGGATTTTAGGTCAGAACATCAACATGGTCCGACGACACCAATCACACGCTGATTTAACATCGTTCATAAGCTCTTCGCAGTCATCCAAGGATAATATCTGCCTAAACAGCTTGATATCATCTACATAATGCAAGATTACTGAATTATGAACACTTGAGGCAAAGTCACTAATAAAAAAAAAACATTGAAAAATGTCGGCCCAACTGTGGAACCGTGCGGAACACCCGAAAGAGAAACATAGGGCTGGGAGAGATGTCCAAGAGCACGTTCAAAGTTGTGTCGATTGGACAGATAAATGAGAAGCAATGAACGAAGTTAGGCACTCGGGCCGTAGGATCCTAGTTTATGTATAATGAGCGAATGATCAATCAAGTCGAAAACCCTTGAAAGGTCAAAATATACAGCGTCTACCTGTCCACGCTGACACCACAGTAGGCAAAACAAAATTTAAAAAAATGGCACTAAATTTGTTTCCACAGGCCTTCCACTCACAAACCTATGTTGCGAAGGGCTAATCTTGTGCTTTAAGAAGTGTGAAATGTGATCGAGTAAAACAATTCGGGATAACAATGTGCAGTCATGGCGAAAGAATTCGTTTCGATGCACTTTCTCTCGTTCTTTCTGGTACCTTTTTCGTACATTTGAAGCTCGTCGCGGGGCCGTTTTCTTGGGCGCACCTCTTTTTTGCACCGGAAGAAGCGGGTCTGCTGGCCGGGCTTCTTTCGAAGCACCGCAGCCAGCCGCAGGCCGGTCGGAAGGCTTCCGCGTGCCGGATCTGGCCAGCGGGCCGGGGTTGGAAGACCCCTGCTCTAGCGTCTTCCTGAATATGTGTTCTAAGTGTGCTTGAAATCGGCCCCGTGTTCCAGCAAAAACACAAATCATTGGTCATTCTTCAACCAATGAGAAGAGCTTATGCTCTAATGCTCCCACAATCTCATGTGCAGAAAAAGAAAGAAAAGTGTGCTTCCCTATATTTTGCTTTAGCTGAAGTCCAGGCGCAGCCCACAGTACGAGCTAATGGGAGAAATCAAGCAGCGTAAAAAGCGCAAGTCACTATGACTTTTATGTTTATGATTGGTTCAGTGATGATGGAATACGCACAGAAACATGACGAACACCATGACGGTGCGCTTTTGACACTGTGTGGTTGGTCCCTTTAGCTCATAGCGTCGGCTGCCTCTTGACGAAAGGTGACACGAAGATTAGACTTAAACGCTGAACTGCTACACTCTAAAAAAAGTCTGTGCGTCGACTCTCTCGCACAACACTCGGAGAGCCAATCGCCGCAACTTACGGAGGCAGCTCAGCGAATGTTGTCCTGTTCTTTCTGTCCTATGTTCCGCGCTGTTCCATTTAGTCAGCGAATGACATTGCCGAAACATATGTTTAGACCAAAAAACGCAGCCAGTGACCAAGCGCCCGGTGCGCAACCACTATTGGCCCTCTCCTCCCCCCCACCATCTTTCACAACGCTTAGAAGAAGAAGAAGTCTGAGTTGTGACGTTAAGCAATGTAAGCGTGACGTTTTGCATTGCTTAATGTCACAACTCAGACTGCGTTTTTTGGTCTAAACATATGTTTCGGCATCGTCATTCGCTGAGCTGCCTCCGTAAGCTGCGGTGACTGGCTCTCCGAGTGTTGTGCGCGAGAGTAGACGCACAGACTTTTTTTAGAGTGTACTTTTGCGAGCTGAACTGTTATTAGATATCGTTTTGTAAACAGTTGAAATGGTTTATATTATGCTCCACTGTTTTCACATTTTAACAATACGTGCACAAGCTTAACACATTTGAATTTTTTGTTCGCGTAAAAGAAGGGGGTAACTTCGACAGGTTTGTTATCCACAGTTAATTGGTGTGAAATATGTTAAATATATTATTAATTTGTTTTAATTTTCTGTTTGAAGGGCACCAGCGTCCTCAACCTCACTGCCGAAGATGGAGATTACGGCAATCCCAGAAACCTCTCCTATCGCCTCGACAAAGGTGACGACACTTTTTTTTTTTCTGCGGAGATTGTCAATGTTACTATTCGTGTGGGATCGCCAGCAAATTACATATTGTAATATTTTTTATTCTGTTTTTAATAAACAAACATGAAAAGGTAGCAAACGCTTTTTATTTATATATTTGTGAGAGCAGCTTGCAACACTGTACGAGCTGATCACCACAACATACATATTCATTGATACCGGTTCAAGTTCCCCACGCTTCAATTGTTCACAAAGAAGTTGCAATTAAAAAAAAAAAAGAAACATACTTCCAAGTAAAAATTTACGATAACTATCATCGGTCCAAATTCTTATTGTGCCACGCATGTATTTCTCATGTGATCTATTGATTGATAATCTTAGCATCGCTAGCTAATACGTTGTTTCCGTTACGAACCGCTTTCTCCATAAATAAGTAGCTTAATAAATCGTAATTATGTACTTAGTTTTTGTGGATTACTTATATATGAGTCAGATTTTTTTTTTTATGACAGGCTTATGTGTGTCTGCTTTCGTTTGCAGAAAATCCTTGGTCCAGTCATTTCAGCGTCAACCCCCAGACGGGAGAGGTGAAGACCACACGGCCAATCTCAGAACTCGCTGACAAGTACGGAGGAACCGCTGTCTACATCCTCAAAGTTGCGGTACGTCCGTCCTAAGAGTAAGCAGAAGACGAAGGGCAAACTGAAGAACAAACAAAAAATACAAAGAGGAATATATGTTTTTTTATGTCTTTGAGCGACTGCAAGGAGCGATGTCGTTCAACCAAAGCGCTGCCTAATTTGAGCCATTCCCCACCCGATTATCATCAAGCCATCTGTAGTGGTTACTAGGTTCAGTGCCTCCGCCAACATAGACGACGACGCTACTTGTTGGCATGGGCCCGGAGTCGATCGCACTATCTCTACCGTTGTCTATACACCGAACGCACTACACCATCCATTCAGAGCCTCTCTCTTTTGTCTGCCATCTTTGTAAGCTGAAAACCATATATATCCCAGATTGCAGCTATTCGGACCGGCCCGAAACTCCAGCAGACTCAGGTTATAACACTGGCTATGATGATATTGCAAGTAAAAAAAATAATGGTGTTTGTTTCACGGCAAATGGAGCTTCCTACCGTTCAAACAACTTGCGGCGAACAAACATTGCATTTTTTTTTGTCGTCGCGTAATGGGTACAAGCTTACTGTGTTGGCTATAAGCCGGTTCAAGCATCCTCACACTCAATGTCCCTGACAACTTTCGCATTTTTGCGGGAGTCAGAACTCCGGTACGCCGGTGAAAAGCAGGTGTAGCTTTCGTGGCTTCGAAACGCCTGTCTCGGCGGCTTCTGGCGATAATTCGGTCGCAATTCGTGGGGTGACAAGAATGCCTTTCTGAGGTTTGAATATTACAATTCTTTGTGAAGTACCAACCGGTGTCCAGGATGCTAACGAGCGAGAACGGGATAAACATTGCGCTTAACCGCAAGCTTCACGAGCCCAAGCCTGACAGGCTATAATCTTTATTTACACATTGGGAATCGTCTATGGGTGTATTCAAATAAATACCGACGTTCTCTCTACCCTCTCCCGCCAGGCTCGCGAGACGACGGGCACGGTCGAGTACCCGGCGCAGGAGGCCTCGACGCAGTTCGCCGTCGTGCTCATGTCCAGGGAGAACCACGCTCCGAGCTTCGGCAGCGACCTCTACGTGGGCTTTGTGGCCGAGCACAGCGCGCACCTGACGGCCGTCGACTGGGCGCCCGGAGTCTCGCCCAAGGTACACGACAGAGACCAGGTGAGGGCGAAAGCTTTAGCGAACCTCGAAGCAAACAGACGCGTACGTCAAATCGACCCTTTAAAGTGGTGGTAGCACTGCTAGTACATAATACAAAAGAGGCAGTCTGCTGGCGCAGGCCTGCTTCTTCCTTATATGAAACTCACACTGGACATACAAAAAACTTTCTGCAGGCATGTTCATACATGCATAAGTATCAAGCAAACATGCTTGGAAGATGTTTGAAGGGCAGATAACTCTACCATCGTGCCTGCAGCGAACACAGTGTCTCGTATGATGTGATTGCGGCTTTGGTGGACAGAAGCAAACAGCCAAGTGAACAAATGCAAAAAACACCGAACGAACTGACGAAACACGCCAAAGCCTCGATTATAGACGCTTTACACGTGCGCCATCTTACAGCCTCCATTGCTGACCTTATCTAGTCTTACCGAGATACCGTGTCACTGAAACTATCTTTCACGAGCCTCCACAATGGTCAATGCTGAGCAGAAGGACACGATAGGATGACCTGACCCATAGGCGTAGACTACGGGGGGGCATCGGGGCTCGTGCCCCCTCTGGAGAGATCAAGGGGAAACTCTGCCCCCCCCCCCCCCCCCCCCCCCCCCCCCCCGCCGGGCCCGGGCCATGATCCTTACCGAGACGCTGTTTACGTGCCATGTAACGAGTTTCTAGTAGTGGCATGTAAACAAAATAATGCACACGTTGCGTTTATTGACAAAATACATGGGAAATAAAATCCCAGCACGCTTCCGGGGGGTGGGGGGGGGGGGGGGGGGGGGGGGGGGGAGTGTTTCCACTTGAGCAAAAAAGCCCCCCCTCGGAGAACTTCTGAGCCTGCCCCCCCCCCCCCCCCTTCCCGGGAAAAACCTGTTATAGTAATGACACAGTGAAGTAAACGAACTAAGAGAGAACAAACACTGAAGGTCGGTTATGATGGCGGCACCCGTGCACAGCTGCTGCGAAGCGTCTATACAGGTTTGGGTTTGTTGTTTGCAACGCAAAAAAAAAAAAAAAGGTTTTCTCCAGCTAATCGAAGGCCGTACTTCGGTTCTCCGTACTCTGAACGCTGACGTCGATCTCTACCAGGGTCGGAACAGCACCTTCCGGCTGTACCTGGAAGGCGACGAGGACGGCACGTTCTCTGTGCACCCGAGCTCGGCGTCCCGGGAGACAGACTTCACTATCCTCGTACAGGATTCCTCCAAGCTCGACTACGAAGTGGCCGACCCAAAATACGTCGAGTTCAGGGTGAGTACCGAAACGCCGGGGTTGGCTCACGAAAAAGCACCTCCTGGAAACCTCAGAATGGCAGTCGTAGCTCTTATCTCAGAGAACTAGATTTATGAGGACCCTGAAGGTGCCACGTTCCCTAGTTCTCTCGGCGAAACGTCGGCCCTTGAATAACCTATGTTTCTCAACGAAAAGTCGATATATCAGAATGAGGCAAAATGATGCAGTTTGAGCTCTTCTTACCAGCTTTTTCTACCTCGCGTGCCATATCAATGCGTATAAGTCAGCTTGAAAGATGTATGTGTAGCAAGGTTTGTCCTTGTCATTCGTATTTTTTTTTATTAAGAAAGAGTTCACAATCAAAAAACAGTACACATTCAATGGAACTTAGTTTCCCTAACCTAGCCTTCAGCCAACTGTAGCAAGGTGTGTCGTTGGGCGAGTCGATGCATGATGATGACGAGCGCTCTGTTTGTGTGTGTCTTCCACTTGCGCCTGTGTCCTTCCTTGACCTGTTTTATTTATTTTATTCAGCCGGGTGTGTTCTGAAAAACACGTCAATAGCGCAGTGTCGGTGTTCCGGCCAGTTGGTTCATTTTAATGTTTAAAAAAAAGAAGAAGAGCAAACGTTAGAGACAAAGACAAGCAACACGATACAGTGCTTCATTTACTTGTAATATTGTAGTTTTTTGTATATTGAACTGCCATGGAATAAGCCAACAATACCCTTTTGACGCGCATGGAAGAAAAGCTGGTCGCAGACAAGTGCAAGTGTTTATTGGACAAAAACAGACTCCTCAATTTTCTACTTGAAAAAAACAACCCAAGACAAGAGAAAAGGAAGGGACACACACAAGGAAGTCTCAAAACGCAGCTGAGACTTCGTTGTGTTTGTCCCTTCCTTTTCCCCTGTCTCAGGGTTTTTTTTCAAGTATGAACGTTCACCAGCTCCCCTATAGCCGGCGCCACAACTCTTATTCCTGTAGCTGTTATTTCTGTCCTCAAGTTTCTTCCTCGAGTGGGCACGAAGTCT